TAAATAAATAAATAATCTTTAAAAAATTTCAAGAAAGTAGTGAAGTATCAATGACTTAAGTATCAATGACTATGATTAACTTGGAGAAACATCTGACACTAACTCTCTGAGAAAATATATTTCACAAATTATGGGTTTGCTCTTCAGTCTAGACCAATTCAGGTACCAATAACAGGTGCTTTCTCAAAGCAAAGTGTCAATTAGACAGCTCTGCTTGGCACTGAGAAGAAGACACTTGTAAAGAGAGAAGGGCTTTTCTGTGTGTCCTTGAGCAGCTGACTGAGGCATCTGTGTCTCTTGTTCTGCATTCAAAATGTCAGAGATAAAAGATGTTTCTAAAATTACTTAAAGACCCCTGGTAGAAAGGTGAGGGATTCCAGTGGCATCTTTATGGAGCAGTACATCAGAGGCATAAAGGCTGTGGAGAAAAAGGGCTTTGCCTGGCAATAAGTGGTTCCAAACGCAACTGCAAATTAAATGCAAATTTAAAATTAAATTTAATATTATAATGTCAGACCCTCCAAGAAGCCATTTCCTTGGGTATTTGAACCTGGAGGTCACGTTCATTTTGAGAGTATATAAATTTTTTTAAAGCTACAGTTATTTATAAATTATTGGTTATATACTTTAAAACATTGCAACTTGAGCTCCATGGCTTAAGTGATGGAACATAAAACCTTTGGAGGAACATGGGTTAGTTACAGTCAAGGAGTCATAAGGTCAAGTTGTAGGGTTGATTCTATTTTTACTTCAAAGATGAGGAAACAAGATATTGGAGTTGACCCTTAGCTGGGATGAAATCTTTAAAATTTCCATGTCTTTAAGTGAACCACTGTCACAGAACCAGAAATACAGGCATCAGTGTATGGGCTAGCTGATGTAATTTTCGCGTTCTTGAGGCATACTCTTTACTTTGAAAGGAATAATATGATTAAAAGTGGCTTTTATTTTTTAAAATGTGTAACAATACCCCTGTCGTTGAGGGTATTGTGCTCTCGAATTTAATAAATATGACTTTTTAAGTTTTTTGCCTTTTTAAAATATGTTGTTAGTTTTAAAACATAGCCAAAATTCCTAACACTACTCCTATCAAGACTTGGGGTGTCTGTTCACTCCCCTTGAATCTGAGCTCTGCATCAGCCCGACCAATATAATATGGTAGAAGGGAAACTTCCAGATTCTAGGTCCAGATCCCAAGAAACTATCATCCCCTACTTCTTCTCTTTGGGAAGAAAGTCCAAGTACCCAAGGAGAGATCCACAGAATAGTAACCACAGCCCTCAGCCCTCAACCACAGCCAAGCTCCCAGTCAACACCCCACACCACCTTGCCAGCCACCATGGGGTGCTATCTTAGAAGTGGGTCCTCACAGATTACCCCAGACCACATCTTAGAAGTGCAACCTCACAGATTACCCCAGACCACAGCCCGCAGCCAGGGCCTGCACAAATCACAGATCCAGGAACGAAATAAAGCCTTGTTCTCACTGGATGCCGTTCAACGTTGGGATGATGTGTTATGTAGTTACAGAGAACCTGAGTAGATGGGGGTACCCAGAAGCAAGGTGCTGCCAGAGAATGCCTAATATATGGGGTACTGGCTTTAGGACAGCAGTGTGTAGAAGCTCTGAGGGCCTTGAGAAGAGTTTTAGTAAAGTCTTAAAGAGCCTCAGGAAACAGGAATGGCCCAGAGGAGGGTGTCAGTGGGAGGCGCTCTCTCTGAAGCATCAAGAAACAGGAGGAAGAAGTTACAAAAGCTTGAGGAAAGGCTCTCCAGTTATGGGGAAGCAGAGAGTCTGGCGAGTCTTCTGGTGCCTGAAATCATGTGAAACTGGGAAGGTGCTGTATCAGTTAGCTCAGCCACCATAAAAGAGTATCACAGACATTAATCTCTAACAGTCCTGGAGGCTGGAAGTCCAAGATCAAGGTGCCGGTTGGTTTGGTTCCTGGTGACCCTCCCTTCCGGTCTTGCAGATGCTGTGTCCTCACGAGGTCCTTCTTCTGCATGAGTGGAGAGAGAGGGAAGACGCCTCTTTGGTGTCTTTTCATCTTTTCATTGGATCAGGGTCACACTCTGATCACTTCATTTAATCCTAACTAATCCTTAAGGGCCCCATCTCCAAATACAGCCACACAGGGTGTTAGGGCTTCAACATAGGGATTTGTGGGGGGCACAAGTCAGTCTATACCATGCACCTAATGAGCTAAGTGACTTAGCTAAGGAGAATCACAGCCAAAATATTAAAATATTCAATGGCATTTGTTTGTTGCCTGTGAAAATATGCAAAACGAAATAAATATGCTGAAGCATAAACTCTTAACTGAAGGAGGCAGGATTGGCCGAGCTGATAATTAAAAGATTTTCTCTTTCCCAGCCTCTCCAGATGACAAAAGATCGCATGGCACCTAGTCTTTATAACTTGGAGCAGGACCTGATCCTATAATGATAGGGTCAGTGTTTAAGCCAGTGGGAATGGACTGCCCTTGAGACTGGAAACATGTGAGTGGATTCCAGGGTCAGTGTTCTGATCCAATGGTTGATATCATTTGTAGGTATTGAGTTCACTCTCCTAGAAGTTTGGCTTTTTTTTTTTTTTTTTTAATTACTACAGGTCATCTTTTCTTGATAAGTGTTTTTGGTTATCTTTTACAAGAATGATTCTTGAACTCCCCTGACCCAAAGTTTTATCACTGCCCATCAGTCTAACTTAGGTCGAATGGCAGGGTCATTAAGGGATCCAGCGTGGCAGTCTTCCAGATGTGCCATGTGACTAACAGACAGGCCATCCATCCACACTAAGGAGTTTCAGAGTCTCCAGAATGTGCAACTCGATTCTGGGATGATTTTTTACAAAGGAAGAGCAATGACTATGTAGTTCATCCATCTACAATGATAATAAGAGCAACCACCACAACCCCAGCGGAGCTAACGTGTACTAGTTCTCATGGTGGACCAGGCTCTGACCCAAGCACATCTCACCCACTTACTGATTTCATTCTCAGAACAACCTATGAGTTAAATATTTTTTTGTCATGCACATTTTGCAGAAAAGTAAACTGAGGCATGGAGTTTAAGTAACTTGACTAAGTTTGTAAGACTGGTAACAGGCGGTTGAGACAGGATTCCAAACTAAATATTCTCAAAGCTAGGACTATTCAGTTGAAGAATGCAAGATGCTTGGGGAGGCAGAAAATTAATTCCACCTACTACCATGAGCTTACACTCACAGTAAAATTGGTCTCAGGGCTTAGAACCTCACAGTATGTGAAAAACCAGAGACGGTTAAGTCCTTTTGCTTGGAGGCCATATTATTTTATTAGCAGCTATCATGCTAATTATAAATCCTTGTTTCTGTGGGTTCCTGTGTCCTTGAAAGTTAGGTATGTCAGGATTGAAACTTACTCTAGGTTAGTGTCATGAGCATGTGATATGTATAATATTTTAATTAATTTAAAGTGAAATACAAATGAGTTAGGGTAATAATCTATAGGTTAGCTTGGGCTTCAGGTGAGGCCACCCCAGAACTGAAGCTCGGAGCTCTTTACTGTGGTTGGGACAGTGCTTTCTCCCCACCCTCCGTGGGGCCTGGCCGCACCACTCCCTCCTTGAGGCTTGGCACACACCTAAGCCAGGCCACCTCTTTTTTTTTTTTTTAATTTTGTTATGTTATGTTAATCACCATACAATACATCATTAGTTTTTGATGTAGTGTTCCACGATTCATTGTTTGCGTATAACACCCAGTGCTCCATTCAATACGTGCCCTCTTTATTAAAGGGTTTAGATCGGGGGTTCATTTGCAATAAAACTCAAGACTGATTGGGAGAAGGAAGGAGGTGCTAGACCAGCAACCACCCTATAAGATGCTGCCTTCCCTCTCCCAACCAGCATGCAGACCTACTCAGAGCAGAGCTAGCAAACCAGCCACAACTGATGGAGAAATGCATGGGGAAGAAGAGCCAGGCTCAGGGCCAAAGGACGTTGGGAGCTGGGGAGAGAGGAGCATCAGTGAGGCGGATCCAAAGACAGCCGTGGACCTCCCACCAGTTGGGCCCAGCACAGGTGCAGGGATGGCTCGAAGGGGTGCAGCATCTCCTGTGGATACAACCTGCCCCAAGGGAAGGACTCTGCACATGCTGTAGATTCCCTGGTGTCCTTTGTCAGGAAGGGTCTACTAAAGCACAACACTCCCTGTTCTGCAAAGACTATTACTCAGGAGCAGTACTCAGATAATGGGGAGCACCACCCGTGTCTCATGGTAGACCTGAGTTTCCATTCCTTCCGTCCTTAAAAGTGGATCCTCCCCCTTTTGTTCCCCTGGTCTCAAAATACACACAGAGTTACTTTCAGAAATCTCTAGGAGTAGCGTGAGCCTTTTCCCTTTGTCTGCCTCACTGATGTCTTGCTACCTGGATTTCTCGTTCTTGTTCCAAGCCTAGCGCCAGCCCCTCTGGGATTCTTGAAAGCTTCCCCTTCTGCTTCCCGAGAGGGTTGAAAAGCAGGGGCAGACAGGCTCATGTGGGTCCACATTTGAAGGTGGGTTGAGAATTCCTGCAGAGCTAATGAGACCCGCAGCGCCGGGCTTGGGGCCAGCAGGGCAGGGCCCGCGCGCGGGAGACCCGCTTTCCAACGGTGGGCTGCAGGCTAAGGCCAAGTGCGTCCCGCAGTGAAGCGTGGAAACCTCAAAGACTTGTTTTCTCGCTGGCCTAGATTTCGGATTTCTCTATTAAGACCAGGATCCATGCCCTGGCAGGCAGCTCACCCTTTTTCTTTTTTTAAGAAATAAAAACCGATATAGAGAAAGAGGGGAATCCAAAAATAGGATTCGTCTTCTAATCAGAAAGAAATCCCACCAGCCTGGCAGAGTCCAGATATACACAGTTTGCTTAAAATGTTTAAAAAAAAAAAAAAAAAAAAGGAAGGAAGGAAGAGAAAGGTTCTTTTATTTTGGGTTTGCTTCACTCTTTCTGAAAACCCCTTCCTAAAGCCCTAAAAAAAGATAGCATTTTGTGTGTCTGAGGTCTTTTAAAAATCACCCCATATTATTTAAGAGAAAAATCAGCTGGAGGCTTTTTCTGCAAAAAGGTATTTAATTTCATACTCCAGGCAGCAGCACCAGCAATTTTGAAAGTAGCCACCACTAGATAAAGGGAAATTTATAAAAATGTTTTATAGAGATTGAGAATATAGGCTGTAATTGCTGGACTGTCCCCTAACCACGGATGTGCCTTTCGGTGTCAAAGATACTTTTCTAATGTGTTTCTCTAAGTCGATATATGATTTCATGAAACCTTGATGGCAAAATTCCCCACATGTGTGTCTCCTGGGTTGTGTTCCTCTTTCACGCAATGCAGCGTGCGTGCCAGGTAAACTCTCAATGCTGAAGACAGTACCTGCAAATGTCCCTCATCACAACAAGAGCCAATGCTCAGATGGCACTTGCCACATGCTGGACACCGTCCACGCATTGGATGTCTCTTACCTGATTTATGCTTCACATGAAACCAAGAGCGGCACCATGATCAGCCTCCCCACGTGCAGACGAGGGACTCAAGGTGCCCGGCTGTTCGGCCCCACCCTCCGGATTTCAGAACTGGACGGGGGCAGGGTGAGGATTCCCACTGGGGGATCTGCTGCAAGGAGCGGCTTGCAACCCCCACACACACCACCGCTCACCCCACTCCCTCCTTCATGGTAAGGAAGGTCTTTCCTCCTGCTTACTGCCAAGCCCTTTGCCTCTCTCCACTCCAGACTCTAGAATGAAGCCAAACAACTCCTTCAGAAAGCCTGAGCCTCACAGTGCTGGAATCACAGTGTCCACATTGTGTGTGGTTTCTCCTGCTCCACATGAGATCTGTGAAGTTCATCAGGTCACGCACATCAGCAATTGGTTCCTACGGTGGTGGAGTCAGACCAGAGTTAACTGCAGAGGGGTAGAGGTGGCGTTGACCGGGAACAGTCAGGTAGTCCCCAGTGGTTGATGGGAGTCTCCATTCTGATCCGGGTGGTGAAGTGACACAGGAACACGTGTAAAAATTCGCTGATCTGTGCACTTCTTGGCAATGTCTGCCCCAGTAAACAAAATACAGTGGGGATAGAATGTTTAGAAGAAGCCAGTGTAATCACAGGATTTCCCTGCTTCAAAGTCTTAAATAATTTCCCACCAGCATGAAAATCAAAATCCTTCTCAAGCTTCTACAGCCTCACCTGGTCTCCTCCCTTGGGATCATTTCCCGCCTGCTCCCTCCTCTCTCTCAGACTGTGGTCCAGCCACACGGGGCAGGGGTCCTCCCCCTCCTTGAGCATTCCCAACGCTGCCCTCTCCTCCCTCAGGGCTCCGGACATGCTCCCCTCTCCGGCCAGAACATTACCTGTTTGCCTGGCCAACACCACCTCTCTCCTTTGACCTCAGGTTCAACAGGAAAAATGAGATCACTAAAAAATACCCTCCTGTGGCTTTAGGTACTTCTCCATGTTAGCATTTTCATGATTATAACTTTATATTGTTTTGCTGCTATCGTTATTACTTTGTTTCGTCTTTAAGTGGACTTTATTTTTTAGAGCACTTTTGGGTTCACTGCAAGATAGAGCAGAAAAGTAGAGATCTTCCTGAGACCCTCAGCCCCACACGCACACGGCCTCCCACTGTCAACAGTGGGCACCATACTTTTGTTTTTTTAATTGTCCCATTAATGTCTGCTTCCCTTCTGGATAGCAAACTCCATTAGGGCAGGAACTTGACCTATTTTTGTCCAAATTGATTTCTGTCACCTTCTGCTGACTTGCTTAGTAAGTGTTTAATAAGTGGATTGATGAGGCACTCCTTTTGGATTCCAGATCCAACGCTTGATCTAGCTCACTGTGCAGGTCAGTGACTAGGACTCAAACACTTGTTCCTGAGATGCACAAGGAAGTTTTATTTTATTTTCAGGAGGGAAGAGAGAGCTGTCGAGTGATCTTTTTTTAAAGGCTTACATTTCTGCAAAGGTGGTGGGACCAAAGGAGGGGAAATCAGGACTTTCTAAGTTTGTACATTGATCCTTCCTAATTACATGAGTGAAAGTTCACTGGAAGCTGTACTTCCCTACTTCTGAAAGGTTACACAACTTCTTTAGAATTGGAAGACAGAATTCTAAATGTAGTAATTACCTTCCTGTTCTGTTTGTAGTGAACATCTGAGGGATGGTCCCCACTGGAGTGAATGTCTTTGCAACGGTGACCCAAAATAAGAGTGGAGAAAAAAAATAAGGAATAAAAGGAAGGAAGGGAGGGAAGGAAGGAAAGAGGGAAGGAGGGAGAAAGCAGGGAAGGAAGGAACATCTCTGTCACCATATATAACACGAACAGAAGATGGTCTATCACTGCTCCTTCTAGGCCCACCATGGTCTTCAACCACTGGGAACATCAACTTGCCCACGGAGCTTTATAAAACCTTTCTCACCCTTATTGAAACCATATTCCCTGATATTTTCTATTTTATTCCATCCTATCCAGTTCCAATAAATTCCATGATATTTTAATCTATTATATTCTATGCTATTCTACTTTAAAACTCTGCGATACAATCCACTAAATTAACTTACCACTATGACGTGCCTTTTTAAGAAGTCTACAAGAAACTGGCATTGGTGTTTTCAAAGTAGAACCACCTGGGATAAACAGCAAGAACTCTGGTCAAATTGTCCCGTGGCCTCTGTGGAGATTGGCAGCCTCATTTTAACTGGGCTGCATTTCTGTTCTCCGGTGCCTTGTTTTGTCGATATGCCCATTCTTCCCCAGAGACGTGAGCTACGGTGATTGTAAATGCTCAGCATAAATCTCATAAATAAATACAGAGGAAATCTTTTCCAGAGTTTCCTGGCGAAGTTTGGTGTTAATCAGGGATGCAGAGCAGAAGCACATGGTCATAGACACCTGTTCGGTGAGGAGAGGCCCCTTCGCAGTCAAGAGCGGCTCAGAAGTTTTAACCTAAATTATGCACCACTTAAAAGTCCTGAAATGAATTAAACACCACACAAATCAATTGCCAAGTGAAAACCACACGTCCATCTGTTCAGTTCTGTGACTCACGAAAACCTCCACTCAACTCTATGCCGTTGAGAGGCGAGAATGTCCGGATGACTCGATCAATTAGTAAAAGTGATAGTGCATATGCGCGAGTCTAGACACATTTATTTACTATTTTCCTGGGGATAGCTACGGAAATCGACTGTCTACAATCCGTTGTTGCGGCAACGACTGTAAACACCAGTTTGACTACTGGCTAGAGAACAGGTTGAAATCATCTGTTTAACTAGCAATATGTGCTAACAAATCAAGGGGAAGAGTATCCTATTCGCTGATTTCCAGGGACTGGCAGCATATTTATAGCTCAATAAATGTCTGCCGAGGGAATGATTGAAGGCATGATTCAAGTTTTTTCAGTTTTTTTGCTAGATGTCAAAAGAGATGAATCCAAAATTCTTACAATTGTAAGAACCAACAGCAATTGTGAGAAAAGCTCCCCCCTACGCTCATCTTTCTGGATCATTTCCATCAGGATCCGCAGGTCTTTTCATCTCTAATAGCTTTCCTTCTGTCAACTTCGCAGGTCTCAGGCCTGCCCACAGCATCCTGCTCTTCCTAGAATCTTGTCTACCAACCTGAACATTTTTTTTTTCATGATTTTCCATTTTACTGTTCATTGTCCACAGGCTGAGCACTCTCTCCACATCAATTGTTCTCATCCCTATAGAGACTGATAATTGTCCTCTAATATTCTTTCTCTTGATGTTCCAACTCCTGGATTTTATCTTGATGAATGACTGTCCATAACAGATCCTCTAAATCGATGCTAAATGGCAAGGAAAGTGCCATGTGACAGCTTCTAGGTGTGTTCCTTACAATGTGTCTTGTTGTATGCCCCCTTATCCTGGTAATTGGAACATAGATGTGATGACTGGTACTCCAGTCACTTCTTGCACCACGAAGATGGCGGGTTACACCTAGGGATGACAGAGAATGGCTATCTCGGGTCTTCATAGAACTGAGTGTTCCTCCTCCGTCTGGGCCCCCCCACCTCCAGGTTTCTATGTGAGACAACACTTCCAGCATACCTGGATTTTCGGGCTTCAAGAGGGAGGTTGCATGCTGGTTTAAAGTGCCATCCAACTGTGCAAACTGGGGTCCTCCGGGCCTCGGGCAAAACCTGGAGAAGGAGTGGGCCAAGGGCATCTCTAGCTACCACGAAACAAAAGATAGCTGTCAGCTGTGTTCAAATAAATGGTCCATGCCAGGTTTTGATGCAAATCCACACCACAACGAGATATCACGTCACACCTGCAGGAATGGCGAAGATCAAAAACAACAAGTGTTGGCGAGGACGCGGGAGGAAAAGGAACCTTCGTGCACTATGGGGGGAAATGTAAATTGATGCAGCCACCATGGAAAACAGAATGGAGGTTCCTCAAAAAATTAAAAATAGAGCTACCCTATGATCCAGTAACTCCACTACTGGCTATTTACCCAAAGAAATGAAAACACTAATTTGAAAAGATACGTGCACCTCTATGTTTATTGCAGCATTATTTACAGTAGCCAAGATATGGAAGCAGCCCAACTGTCCATCAGTAGATGAACCAATAAAGAAGATGTGGTTTATATAAACAGTGGAATATTACAGAGAATAGACTCAGCAATACTATGATAGTGTGGCGTGGTGGCAGATGGTCCTTGCAGAGGAAGCTCAGGAAAGATGCCACCCTCTCACAGTATCGCTGAGTCTACATGTGATGAGCACAGAGTAACGGAGAAGTTGCATCACCATGTTGTCCACCTGAAACTAACATCACATTGGGTGTCAACTATGCTCAAATAAAAAAAAAAAATTAATGGTCCACGCCCTGTACATATTAAATAAGTAAGTTTTACACAATGTTGGGATTGGAACTTGAATTTATTATTTACTGTTTTGTGTTCCTTTTCTTCCATGTTATTTAAAATTCATCAGCACTCATTCAGTCTGTTTCCACAAGCATGTTTATTATGTGCATCCCCTTGTCAATACATCCTCAGTTCTCTCTTCAGTGTCTACAGCTTTCAAGTCAGTGCCTGGCCTTTTTATAGCTGTGAACTCCTTTCAAAGTCAATACTAAAAAAGAAATCAGCATCAGTTAATCAAATTGTCTTCTTTATTGAACTGGCATTTGATGTATGAAATCTTTCCAGATGAATGGTAACGTTTTGTTTTATTAGAGATTAGCTCCCGCTACTGTTTCCAGAGAACTTTCTGGCTTCTTTCCTCGGGAACTTGCTTTTAAAATCAGCCCCAGAGACTCCAAACTCAGAGGCGCTTAGCAAAGGGCATGTGAAACAGCGTCTGTGCACTCGCCACCAGAGTAAGTGCTCCTTTTGATGTTGTCTTGTTGCTGGATGAGCACATCAAAGGCCCCCAATGCCTGGCAGCTGAGGGCCAGCAGAGTGACTGGACACTAGGAGCCACCGTGGGGAGCAGAAAGATGACTCCTGGTTTGAAACATGGGCAGTAACATCTCCTTAGGTCAGTAATAGCCACATCTCTGGCTGAACTTCTTGGGGTTCCTTCTGTCTTCACATTCTTGAAACTTGACAAACCACCTAACTGCCACTGGGCTCGCAAGAATTCTTCCTTCCTTCCTTCCTTCCTTCCTTCCTTCCTTCCTTCCTTCCTTCCTTCCTTCCTTCCTTCTTTCCTTCCTTTCTCTCTCTTTCTTTCTTTTTGGTGTCAGCAAAATAACCCAAGAGAGTAAGTATGCTCTAATATTTTTAATGGCTTCATATTTAAGAAATAGAATTGTTTTGCTTTTTTCTTAAAAAGTTGGAGAACAGGGGCTCCTGGGTGGCTCAGTTCGTTAAGCATCTGCCTTCGGCTCAGGTCATGATCCCAGGGTCCTGGGGTCAAGTCCCGCATCGGGGGTCCCTGCTCAGCGGGAAGCCTGCTTCTCCCTCTCCCACTCCCCCTGCTTGTGTTCCCTCTCTAGCTGTGTCTGTCAAATAAATAAACAAAATTAAAAAAAAAAAAAAAGGTTGGAGGACAGCAATGAGGCACTAAATTTTGCATAGAGATCGGCACGAGTGGAGATCTGGTGAAACATTACCTCATGCGCATTGACACCTGCTGTCCCATGACCAGCATTAAGGTTCCCACAAAATGCTTTCTACGCTCGAGATTCTTCCGGCATTCGCTCCACAGAAGGCTGGAGCCAGAGCGATGGAAAGCCACCTTACAGAACCCCTCACTGTGCAGGGGAGGAAGCCAGGCTCCTGGCTGGAGGGGCACGTGTGGTCAGGCAGCACCCACTCCAGTCGTGAGAGGCAGCCCGGGGCGCTGGGATCTGGATGCACCCCTCCTCCTGTTTAGGTGGCCAGGTCTGCCCAGAACCCATCTGGCTCGGGGCCCATGCAGTGTCTTCCAGAATCTGTCACTATGATACAGGGACCACAGACCTTCAAACAACCAGGACCACAAATTCAGATGTAGTAAAGGGGGGCTTGTCCCCTCTGGGATCCCCAGGGAGTCAGGTCCCCGGACGCCTGAGAGCCTCGGGCTCCAGAGCAGGCAAAGGATCCTCACAGCTGTCATAGTTAACCCAGGCAGGTTAGGCTCATAGATCAGCCCTTCTGTTTTATATTAGTTCAGTTTGGGTTAGTCTGTTCTATTCTATTCTATTCATTTTTACTTTATCTTATTGTATTTTACTTTTCTTTTTACTTTGCTTATTTCATTTACTTTGTTTCATTTTACTTAACTCTAAACAACAGTGGAGACCCCTCCCACCACATGCCCACACAGTGTCCGATTTCTGCCGCACATCTCCCTGGAAGGCCTGGGCAGGGCTCAGACTCCAACCAGAGAAGATAACTGCAATCCAGGAGGACTCACACTTCATAGGAGAGGACGTCCTTCAGGTCAAGTGATAACTGAGTCAATCAGGCCAAAACCCAAAAAGCAAACCTGCCTCTTCGAGGAAAAGAAACAAATTATGAAGATGTGTGTTTTCCCCACTGAGCTGCGGTGGGTTACAGACCTGGCTCCTTGAGTGATGACACATGGTGCTGTGGGGTGCTGACACCTGCAGCCTTCTGGGGGTCCAAGCACAACCCTGGTTGCAGACAGAGCCAGAAGAGTGCACCTGAGCCATTGTCCAGCTGTTGGAAGGGGCAGCAGGGCCATGTGAGTAGGAGGCAAGGGGGGACGGGCAGAAATTTCAGGACACAAGACCTGGGACCTAGGACCCAGGATGCAGGACCAGGACCCAGCATCCAGGACCCAAGACCTGATGCAGGAGGTGGGACCCCAGGACCCAGGACCCAAGATGAGGGACCAGGACCCAGAATCCAGATCCCTGGACCCAGGATGCAGGACCTGGGACCCCAGAGCCCAGGACCAAGGATCCAGGTCCAAGGATGTAGGACCAGGACCCCAGAGCTCAGGACCCAGGACCAAGGATGCAGGACCTGGGACCCCAGAGCCCAGGACTCAAGACTCAGGATTCAGGACTAGGACCCAGCATCCAAAACCCAAGACCCAGGACCCAGGACCCAGGACCCAGGTGCTCTCGGCCCTGCACTTTCTGGGCACAGCATGACCCCTTGCGCCTCTCCTGAGACTGGGTTCACCGGGAGCACAGTTTAGCTCGGCTCTTCTGTGAGCATCGTTGTGTCTTACTCAGTCCTACACCCCCAAATCTGGGCATTTTGCCCTGTAAATAGGAGATGTTGGTTTAATAAACATTTATCTCATTCAACAAAGAGGTATTGAGTACCCTCTGTGTGCCTCGTCCTAGGAATAAACTAAGAAACAATAGAAAATGTCCAGGCTCTTATAAAATTTCCATTCTAATCAAATTTCTGCTCATTACTAAGTAAGTAAATAACTAAGCTACCCATCTCAGCTATGTGAAGAAAAACCCAAGAATGTATTAGATGGAGATGTTGGGGGGACAGGCTGGGCAGGCGCCAGCTACTTTAAAGAGTCTTAGGGGATGCATGTTGGAGACATGCCAGGTGATCTCAGATCTGAGCAGCAAGAAGGAACCAGACAAGTAAGAGACAAAAAACGTGCTCTCACACAGAGGGGACAGCCAAATTCCTGAGGCAAGAACAAGCTGAGGGTGTTGGTCTCACTCGAACTTGAGAGCACCAATGGGGGTCTTTGTCCACTCAGGCTGCTGTAGCAGAACTCCACAGACTGGGTGCTTATAGCAACAGATGCTTAGTCTTACTGTCTGGAGGCTGGATGTCCAGGATCAAGGTGCCACCAGATCTGGGTCTGATGAGACCCCACTTCCTGGTCCATTGATGGTACCTTCTTGCTGTGTCTTCACATGGTAGGAGAGTGAGGGAGCTCTCTGGGGTCACTTTTATAGACAGTAATCTCGTCATGGGGGTCCACCCTCATGACTTCATATCCCAAAGGCCCCACCTCCTAACACCATCACACTGGGGGTTAGGATCCAATGCATGAATTTTGGGGGCATACCAACAATTGTCCTGTAGCAGGGAGCGGAGAGAGGCAACAAGCTTATACACAGAAGGAGCAGCACCTTCTGGGTTTTGGGGTCCCAGTCGGGAATGGGGGTGTTACTCCAAGGAAGTGGGAAGCTATAGACAGGATGGTTATGAACTTGGGAGACGTGTGATCCCATGGAGGCAGCATGTCGGAGGAGAGGATGGTGAGCTGAATGAATATCGCTGAACCAATTCTACAAGGAAATGCTTGATTCCTTCCCATACATCTTGACGGATGCATGGCAAACACAGTGAACACCTACGTCTTGAAATTTTCAAGGCCCCCTCTCCCCGTGCTAGAGGCTGAGCGGGGCTGCCAGCCGCTGTGGGGCAACAAGCTGCCACTTCCAACGGAGCACCGAGCTACTCGAGGTGGTGGCAAAGGAAACACATAAAATGCCCAAGTGTGTCGACCGGGATTTCAGTAATCAAATATCATTTGTGTATTTTCCGCATTATGGTGGGAGCACTCTGGAGCCAGCCTGTTTCCCGTCCTGTTCCTGTTAAATTGTATTCTTGGAGTGAATTCTCATCAGTCCCACTTGAACCCTGATCCAGGTTGTGCCTGCATTTCTATTCTAAACCGTGTTTACCGAAGGTTTACAACTTGGCAGCAAAAACTAGTTGGCACCGAAACTGGAAACTTGGCGTGAACAGTTTGGCATAAACATTGCCCGGAAGCAGTTTTTCTATCTAAATCTGAGAAAAACAGGCTAGGTCATTTTCCAGTTATTTGTGTTATTCATGCATAAATAAAATGAAGCCTGACAGCCTCAAACAGTTGTTTGCTTTTGCACTCTTCAAAAATAGATTTGATCCAAGAAAAGTAGCATTTGGTAAACAAATACTCCATGACGGACTGTAAAAAAAAAAAAAGAAAGAAAAAAAAGTGGGCTGGACTACATTAAATAGAAAGGGAAAATGGAAGTGTTTCAAAAGTCACTTTGTGTCCGAA